ATAAAAATTAGTGCAAGACGGAGGAAAGAAGAGAAAAAAGGCGACAACGTCGGGGAGTACTTAACAGTAGTAGTTCATTCGCTACCCAAGGCACCATCAGTACAGGATGCAGGAGGAGGCCGAGTGAGCCTCTTAAAAGACCCTAAGCCCCATCCCGACGGTGGCACAGAGCATTCAGTTCAGCTGATAATGTATTGCTTTTTTGGCTGGTCTGTCCACTCGGAGTGTATTAACTATGCTTACTCGTCTGTCTGACTATCCAGGAGGACGGCGGAGGGACTCCCATAGTATTCTTCTTCCATTCGGCAGAGACGTCCATTGGACGTGGGAGTAAGATCAATGGGAAGCAGTTTTGCTAGACTCTGGTGGGTGAAAATACCTTTGACTTCCAAGTTAATGGCCCTGTATAACTAGAATGGGTTAGTTCATGCTGGTGTCACTCATACATCAACTAGTACCACGACTAATGCTGGTCGAAGACACCCTTACCAGTCACGACCTGTGAGGTTTCAACTGGTTACCGTCTGCCAGTGCGACGCGCCAAGCTAGGCTACATTGTTAGCTGCAGACGGTCAATCTACGGAGCGGGTCGGGGGTCGACCAGGAACGACGGTCTGTTGGTTTCTCCTGCTCTGAAGTACAATTCCACGGAAATTCGCCCTACACCGAATGAGGCTTGTTTTAATGAACATTGATTCTTAATAACTAGCGATGAGGTACTCATAGCTTTTATAAGAATTAGTAGTGTGCTGCTGGAAAGAATGGGGTTATGAAGTGATTTTGACGGAGTTAGGGCTACTATATGTTTGTTTTTTTTCCCCGTGCCGCAATATAACCCTATCCAATCTGTCCCTTTCCTTCTCTATCCATCTCTCTATCGATTCATTTTCTATTCTTTTTGAGCAGCCAAGCTAGTATGCGCCGAGAAACATGGCAGATATTGGCGTCATACATAATATAAGAGGAAAGCGATCATCGATTGATGTCAACCGGAATGAAGAGACCTGATAATATTAGTACTATAGCCATGGGAAGGAGAGTCATACCGACAGTCCCCACCATTGCAAGACGAATTATCTAGAAGCAAATCAGCACGCCGGTTGTGGACGCTTATTCTTCCGCCGAATAGAAAGGCCTGATCTTGGCTCACCCTGAACTACCTCCAGGAAGTCCATTCTCATCAGTAGGTAGATAGATGAAATGCTTGGGCACCAGAAGGGCGGGTGGGGAGAGTGGATTGCTAAAGAGTCGCATTAATGAGGTAAGACAATGTCATCCATCTCCATCAAAAATAAATCCATTCCATGCTGCATGCAGCACATGCAGTGTCTATCGATGCAGAATCCACTTGAAGGTCTGGATGCGCTTTGAGATTGCATGTGGGCTACTGACTGGTGTGGCCAGCCTGCACCAAAGAGAGACATGCCATATGTTCCGTGATCTTCTGTTCTACTGCTGCTACTTCCCCGGGATGATAGTATTAATAATGATAATGACAATCGGACAATAGACATAAATATGTAATGCTTTTTATTTTTTCATTACCTCTAATGTATTTTGTACTGATCGCTGGCGACTTTTTCCTATGTTCCCGCTGAACCTGATGATCCCAAGGCCCATCGCCTCCTAACCTTATTCCCGTGGCTTGCAGAAAATTGAACATAGATCACTAGAAACAGATAGTAAAAAAAAAGAAAAAAGAAAAGAAAAACAAAAAAGGATTAAAAGAAGAATTAAAAGAAGAAAGAAAAACAAAGAAAATTGCAGAATAAAGGGAAAAGGAAAAAGACAAAGAATGAAGGACTGAGAGACGTGAAAGCTAGATAGAAACCACAATCCAATACAAAAGTGCCACGCCTTTGATACTCTAGATAAGAAAACGAAAAAAAGAACTAGACAAAGTATATTACTCAAAAAGGAAGGAGTCAAAGGAAAAAAGATAACCGAGAAATACGGCAAATTAAAATGCATCAACAAGGCCGAAACACGAGGGCTATTAGTAGCCACAGTATGTTAGATATGCAAGTCAGCGCGGCCATTCGGACGCGCTCCCCTATACGGCAAGTTGAACTTCCGCTGAGATATCAGGACCTGTCAACAAGCATGGGGAAATGGCGGGAGACTACTCCAGCCTAGAAATCCCGTCTCCATCGCTAGACAGTCCGACCCCGGCCCTGCCATGTCACAGAAAATCGCAGTGCATGAAGGAGGGTCAGCGTTACCAACGATACTACCCAAATCGAAAGGCTCGGCTGACGTGCGAGTCAGTGGTGTTGCTAGGCCTGATGCATGAAATCGCGAGACGACCGCCGCCGTCACAGGTGACGGGTGGTGTTGACCGTGAAGGATCTTGTGTGGTCGCCGCTGCGACACCAGTCGTTGATAGTACCGTTCCTTCCGTGGCTCATCCTGGTTCATAAGTCCGCGAAATTTAGTGGTGATTTTCGTAGCTTTCCCTCCCTTCGCTCCGGATCGTTGGCGTTGAGGAGCTGGTGGGTCTGATCCCACTGTTTTTTTATAATTTGCCTGCTTTCTATACCGGGTTGTAGACTGGATACCGTGGGTTATTGCCTCGTCTGTTAGACGCCAGTAATTCAGGGCTTTCTTGCCCGGTGCTTTCTCCACTCGAACAGCCTCAAAACCCTGTAGCAGATTTGACTTCTTAGTAAAGGAGCACAAAAACAGAAGCACCAACTTTTGGAATAGACATACCGCGTTCATGGATAAATTGTGTCGAATGCTGTTTTGCCACCCTTTGGAACTGCGATCCTTTCCTTTTGTGGTATTCTCTTCGAACCAGCCGTAAATCTCCTGAAGAGATAATTTCTTACCGGGTGCGTCACGGAGAGCTTGGTAAATAAGTGCCGAGTAGGGCGGGTCTATGTTCGCATCCTCCTCTGCGTTAGCTGGTGCTGCTCGCGCATCAACGCGGCCAGGTTCGGATTTGAGTACAGGGGAGTTCATCTGGCACGACGAGGCCGAAAAGGCCGGCGACGGTGGCGTAAGAGCTGCCGTGGGATAGGTCGTTGTAAGAATGCCAGATGGGCGTTGATACGGCCCAAAAGCTTCAGATGGTGCTGTATAGCGATCAGGCTTCGAAGCGTAAGAAACATCTTTGCCTGATTCCCGCATCCACTCAGAGCATGTCCTGCTATCATTGGTACGAGACGGCCCCGACCTTAGCTGCCCTGGGGCCGGACCCGACGTCATTGAGGATGATGGCCAGTCGCTGTCGCAGGAAAGAAAGAAACGTGGAAGACCATCAGGCATTGACGGTGTAGGTGAGTGAGATGATGGCAGCGTGAAGGCTGAGGTTTCCATGGCCCATGGGTTTTGACAAGGCATCATCGAGGTTGGACTGCTGGGCCCGGACCTCACCCAGTGTTCAACTGCTTGACAGGGATAGTGGTGGCGAAGGTCACCCAAAGGTACGCCATCAACGACACTGTGTGAGGAGGTAGTCGTCTCTGCTCGTTTCAGAGTGTATTGTAGTGTAGTTTCTTGAGGTGAAGGTGTTGAGTCAAAGAATAGGTCCTGAGGCACCAAGAGACGATCCATGTTGTCTTGAAAACAAACAAATTAATATCAATCCAGGAAGACACAATCTAGACTGGTTATATTTGCATCCAAGGGGATGGTTCACGAAAGAAGGAAATATTATAGGTATTATAAGTTTCTAATGGGTACAAGCCATGCCAGGGAGACGGATGTCAACAGGTTGAAAAAGGGTAGCCCTGGAAGATGTGAAGTTAACGAAGGAGGCTAAAGGGGGAAAAAAAAGAAAAAAAAGCCAAAAGCGACAGATAGAGACCTCTGGCCATTCAGAAGAAGGGCATAACTGAAGCTGTGAGGCCAGAAGAAATGCCAGCTCATACATACGCCCTGATGGTCTGTCTGCTGTTTGTATGTGTCTCCGCCAGTCCCAACAAACAAAAGACGGTCTGGGGGAGAGCAAGAAAAATAAATAAAGAAAAACATTGGATAATTAAGACCAGAAAATAAGGGGAGAAAAAAAGGCCAGCCAAGGAACTCCCCAGTCAACATGTGCACTGGGGATGTTGTGGATGGTGGTGGTGGTGTAGTGGTGCTTCGTTCTAAGGGCTTCCCAAGCAGTGGAACAACAAGCCATTGTACATGCAGAACCAATGGCTTTGCAGAGTCTAGTAGAGGCTGGATTTTCGGTGCTACAGATGATGGCAATGTACGTACTTCCTGATTTACAATGCCTGACAGATCAGGGTGAGAGTGGGTTGCGGGATCGGACAGCTGCATGGGAACTGACTCTGCTCTGCATATTGGCCACAGTACGCCAGACTAGATGGAAGCCTTTCTGGAAGAGACGTTCTGGCAACTTCCCGGAAGCTCTCAATGTTCTGGGACTGTAGCCTGCAGACACTCAGGCCCTTTCCCGCTTTCCCCGACCAGCCGGAACCATTGAAACGATATGCGGGTGGCTTGGGTGGCACCAAAGCCGCATCGTTGCAGAGGTTTCTTTCATTCGCCGAAGGCCAAACTAGAAAGACGGCATTTCAGATCTGAGTGGCCGTCCGTATGTGTGGGGGAGAAGGCGTTCGTTCCCTGGCGACACGTGACCCGCTCCTCAAGAAAACGATGGGACGAGAATCGCGTGACGCTGGAAGGCAAAAGCCCACCGCAATAAGCCAGAGTTGGAGCGTTGATGGTGGTGGAAATAAGCCCTAGTCCACGGTTGCACACACGTGGGAGCCATCACCTGCGAGTCAGGAAGCTTAACCCTCAGGGAGGTTATGTACCTTATGCTATATGCCCGATGATACTAGTACCTATGATACGTTCTAGCGTTGGTGGATCGAATTGGGTCCAATACTGTAGCTAGTGGTTAATACTTCCAGGCCAACCAGATCACCCGACTGTAGGTTGCTCTGCCATCGCAGTTATGGATACGTTGATAATAAATAGTGCCCTAAGTTGAAACCCCGAGAATACAATTATTGTAGCCGTATGCGCCCATACACCATTTGGTCGCGATAGATATAAATATAACAAGGTCGATGCGAGTAAACGTTTGTCTGTTGGCTTTACTTTCGGTAGTAGACCTGTCATAGATGTTAGAGTGGAATTCTTTGCGTGGCAGAAAGGGGGGATCTCACCCGTTTGAATTGAAAATGTAGCTGTAAGATACCCTATTGATTGTGTCAGAAGAGTCAAACGGAAGTTAGAACCAGGGGCTAAAACAATCGGCGCGTCTACCTTGTCAAAGGTGCTCTTGAAGCCTCTTTCCCTCTTAGCGCTATAGTCCCACTCCTTATCAACAATTCGAAATGCGATGTCTTCGTAAGGGGGCCCGGCCATGAATCGAATAAGACAAGTATCTTCTTCACCAGCTGCTGCAAACGACTGGCCGCGCTTTCGTCCGTGCTCGCGTTCAATACGGTAGGTCGGTGCTTTCGTCTTATCGATGAGGTCGGGGTAGAATATGTTGAATTTGTAGCCTTGGACCACCTTTGGTGGCGGGTTATCATGGTCATAATGGGTCTGGTTGTACTTATTCCATTCGTAGCCCATTTGCACCCGGTTGAAGTATCGCGGCTTGCGTGGCCGGTACTTGTTCGCCCACTGAGGCTGGGACCCCGTGCTCACGGATTCTTCGCCCGTGAAGATCTCTTCATTCTCACTGACTCCCCTCGCAAGCTCTCGCTCATAGAGTGCCTTTGTTGCCTGGGAGAAATCTTCATTTGGTATGGCTGAAAAGCGAGAGGAGCCGGCAACAGCAGGCAAGTTCGGTGTTTGGTTCACAGGAAGAGCTGATGATTTCTCTGCCTGCCTCTGGCGGAGAGGCACAAAACCCATCTTTAGAACCTTTTGACGCTCGCGAGCCTAAAAAGATTCCATTAGCGCATGGTCTGTACCGCTTAAGAGCCGCTGTGACCTACCACCTGATCCAAAAAGTTCGACTCATCCACTACCTCCAAGACCTTGTCTTCCGGGCGAACCTGGAGCAGCGGGTCGGGATCAAGGCCACGGAATTCTTCATCCAACCCGGATTGTGTTTTGTCCTCGGTCGATGGCTGGATGACTGGCGCCAGAGGCGCAAGCTTTGCTCGAACCGACTCCGCTTCGTCGCGCTGTTGTTGGCGTAGTCCTCGAACACGTTCGTCTATGACGGCCTGAAAAACCTTCTTCAGTTTGGCGCGGGCTTTCCAGACGGTGAGACTCCGCAGCAATTCTTCCCAGTAATCGGTATCGATGGGTTCATTAGAATCCAGCTTTTTCTTGACCTGTACTTCAAGGGTTTGAAGTTGCTCGTAGGTTTTAGGACCTAAAAGCCTATTGATATCCGCAGCGACGGAGTTGAGCGCACGCCCTTCCGGAGCAATAATTTTCTGACGGTCGCGACAGATAATTCTCATAGTCTGTGTAGACCGGTTAGCAATGACTACATATAGATCAGATCCCAATGCGGCACACCTTCCAATAATCTCTGTTTTGTGGATTTGCCTCCAAACTCAGAAATGTATCAATGTCCTTCTCCAAGTCCAGCAATTGACTCTGAGACAGTCCTTCGAAAACGCCATCCGGATCCACGATATCCAGGTCCGAGTCCGCAATCTCATCATCAAGAGGGTTCCTTGTCGGGTCGATAAATCGCAGGGTGACAGTAAGCCAGTCAATCGGTTTCGCCCGGCCTTCTTTGACACGGATCTCCGCCTTCTTTTTGGCCTGTTTAAGCACGAAAACGTCCTCCTGCGCTACCCATTCGCGCACTTGCTCGTCTTCTTGTAATTGATTTATCCGCATCTGATTCTTCATATTCCTCGACTGCGACTGCGCCGATCGACCTCTTCCATCGCTCTGGTAGTCCCTCTCATCGTATCTGCGGGGGAGCTTCTGGGGTTGACGCGATGATGGAGATCGCGATCGGCTTCGTTTCGTCGAACCCGATCTGTCCGGAAAACCCGACGACATAACTGACACGTCTAGACAGGGCGATGAAAGAAGGAAGACAGAGATAGGTAAGGCCTGCTGTGAGCGTTGGAGCCTAAAGTCAACAAAAGTATGAGACTTGGGTCTGATGCTTTTTTTGGAGAGCGCGGTCCGCCAAGGAAAAGGTGGAGCAGCGGAGTTAAAAGCAGTAAAGGTTCCGCCTTATCGGCTTTGCCGCCTAAGAGACTAATGTTTGTATATCTGATAACTACAGCCACGGTCGCTTTTGAAAATATCGAGAGTTTCTTTACTTAATGCTTAGAAATGTCCATCAAGTGGCAGCGATTGCGCATCACAAATCGAGGGGAAATACCTCCTCTTCTTTTCAAATATTCCTCAACATCAAAAGGCTACGAGCTGTACATAACTGATCTTACCAACATCTGGTCTGAGCATCTGAACCACCAAGACATCCTGAGAAGAGCTGATAAAAATGACACCACGATCGATCCGAGCGAGGACGCGGAACAATTTGGAGTCCTCCTGCAAAAGATAGAAGATGCGCTGCGTAGCCAGCCCGGAACCACTGTGACCTTGAATCATAGCCCAGGAGATTCGCTGGAGTTGGCTACATCTACCCAACTGCCGGCTCCACTTCAGCCTCTGACGTGGGCTGCACATCTCATCAAGGAGCCACAGTCTGCTGCTACCGATCAATTACTTCTTCCCCTCATAAAGGCGGAAGCTGACTGGGAGTCGCACCAGCGATCCTTCATAGACCAGCTGCATAGGAAAGACTGGATTCTCGCCAAGCTCTTCGATAAGATCGAAGCTGTGGGCATTGACTTGAGTACTATATTTCCTGGTATCTCTGGCTTACGGACGGGTCAGAAAGGCACAACACTGGCGCAGGCCGCCAAGCATATAAAAGGTGTTGCGCCTTTCGATGAGAAAGTCTGGCTTGAGGAAGTCAGCGCGTCAGCCTCTGCATCGGGGCTTGCCGCCAATATTCTGGCGGAGGCATCCACTTCTAGCGGCCCAAATCGATCAAGAAATCTTGAACCACCACCGGATATGTGGTGGGAGAAACTCACTGTATCCAAGACTACCCCGACTCCTATACGAGAAGAAAGCGAACTAAAAAAAGGACGCGAGCCTCCTGAAGATGTGCTGGAGGCTGATACTGACACGGCTACTGAAACAGAGGATGATGAGTTTGAAGTAAGTGCATCCTTCAAAATCGGGAGTACCGCAGTTAAATTTCTCTTCAGAGGCAGGAAACACCCCCAAGATTAAAGCAACCCAAGAGCGACGAGGAAAACCCCCTAAACCCTGGGCAGGTTGAAGACCCTGGAACCCCCCTCTAAAGGAACTGTCGCCTCCGCAAAGGCAGAGAAGCTCTGCAAAACCATCAAAAGGTTTGGGGATCATCGGTGGGAAAATACAAGCTAAAGCGCCTCAGCCTTCACTTCTAGCAGCTCCGTCTACGCTCGCACCACAAATAGCAGACGACCAGACAGATTCAGAGTCTGACCTTGAAAGCGTGGCTTTAGCACCAACTTCACTACCGAAGCCTAAACCAGAGTTATCAGCCAAAGCGCAAAGTAAGCCGCGGGGATTAGGAGTCATCGGTGGTAAAAAGAAACAAACGCAGGCCATCCCTAGTGAGCCTCAATCTCCATCATTGATAAAATCCCCAAGTACAACAGACCAGCCACCCCCCGCAACATCTCCTTCGATAGAGACTAGAACAAAGAGAGTCAGTAAACTCGGTGTTATCGGAGGCAAACCCTCTAAAAACGATGCGACCCCTACTTTGACGCCTCAAGCAGAGGAGGGCAACGATAATTCACCTAGGGAGATATCAAAACACAATTCTGAACCACCAAGATCTCCATCGGCTGAACGTCGACAGCCAAAGACAACTGAGAACTCAGAGAGAGAGGAAGGCCAAGAAAAAGCGGATAGGAAGCGCGAAGAGTTGAAGAGACAACTGGAGGCGAAGAGCAAAGCCCCAGCTAAGAAGAAGCGGAAATTCTAAGTTCTATCCATATTTCACTTTCCAACAGGCTGTTGTGTGAACCAACTGGAATCACTATCTAATGTACATTTGAGGGCATCTGTTGGATTACGTGGCAATTGAAAACGGGCATATTTGGCAATGCCCGGGGATTGAGTTGTTGACAACACTGCAATATACTACAGATATATGGGTTAGTATGATTTCGCAAGACAAAATTAGATCGATGGTATCTTTGGGGTGTGATATGGTACAAATGACTTTAAAATGCACAAATATGACGATTGTTGTTTCATGGTATCATATTGAACGCCGTAGAAATAACCCGCTAACCTGAGGATGTATAACCGCTTCATTCGGGAAAAGTGTAGTTGACAACGGTATGTAGTAGGAAAATGTTGTGCTTGCAATCCAGCGCCTTCACAATTGCCTTCAAAGAGTCAATGTTAGGTGCTTAGCCCGCTGCCACCACCAAGACTGCTCCGAGATGAGGTACCCCTTCGTTTCCCTTGCTCGCTAGGCGTAACAAGTCGAACTTTTTTGGGCGACATCAAGTTAGAGGACACGCTGGGCCCAGCGCTGGTGGTGGAAGCACTTGTGCCACCTGAGGTCCCAATACTTAGCATGCCTCGAACCTTTTCAACAGCTTTGCTTTCCCCTCTGGTCCATGGATCACGTTTTACAAAACCTACGCCAGCCTTTCTACCAGCCGAATCCCGTCTTTTGGATTCCTCGAGTAAAATGGTACGGTTGTGCTCACGCCGGGGTCCTGGGCCGCAGTCATGCATGCAACCAGGGGTAGCGCAACCACCCTCGCTGACAGAGGTGTCGTTCAGCCACATGCTGATGCAAGCTAAATGTCCTCCATGGCCACAGCCTTGACACCAGGTCCAAAGCGCGGACCCTTTAGGTCCCGAAGAATTGTATGAAACCGCGTACGTTTCATCCAGGCGTCGTAGCTCGGAGGTTGGGATCGGCTCTGTCTTAATGGAGGAACGAGATGACGATAGGAAATGCGACGTCTCGGAGTCCAATTCAAGATTTGACTGTGCAGGTGAGACAGAATGCTCCGCTACCCATTCGGCTGGTGGGTCAACGCTCATGCAAATGGCACATGGCTCCTGAGGCGTGTTGCAGCGATGACAGCGCGTATTGTCATTCAAAGGGTTCTCGTATGGACGTTTACACGTGAAACAAAACACGTTCATCGTAGTATCTACTTGAGCATACTCATAGACTGCTGGATACACCGGTACGCAGAGAAGTCGAAGCTCAGCCGCCTCAATGTACATGCACTGACGTATAAGGTGTTCGTTGTAGGTTTTGAAGATGAGTTCACACTCCTCACGAGGAAGTATATCCTCGTAGCTTTGGAAAAGAGTGCGCATTTTCTGGAGAAGATGAGCAGCAGATTGAACGTCAACACAAGAACTGCTATGATAATGCCTAATGGCTTCCTTAAGCAAAATTCCAGCGCTCCATGGTTTATCCATCGTTCCAGCAGAGCTTATAGGGATAATGAGCCCCGTGAGATCATCATCGATCACATGTGTAGCCCTACAAGTAGAACTATCTGCTGCGGCAGTGTAGGCAACACTTTGACGGCCATTCTTCTCAAAGCATGGAGTCTCTAGAGGACTGGATTCTTTCATAAGGGGAAGTGGGCTAGAGGGTCGCTCGAGATGAACATTGGAATCTGGAACACCCTCAACAAAAGGTTCACTAGCCTGACGTTCTTCGTTTTGAACGGTAACAGGGCCAATGACTGAGTCACTTCTGGTCCTGGAATATGGTATACGAGGGGCTTCACTCTCCGCGCCTTCCGTGGCATTCTCGCTTTCAGAAACGTCATATAATTTTGCCGCTGACGATAATGACGTGCCTATTGATTTGGAAGGGTGTGAGCTACCTGTAGATGCCGAGAACATGGGAAGACTTTCTGATGACTCGCGCCGGCGGAAGCCCGGAGGCCTCACACTCTCAACGTGAGACTCGAGCGACAGGATCTTTTTGGGATACTGTTTATAATCACGAATGGCTGCTTTTTTATCCTCCATCTTTTGGTCGTATTCATCTACTTCTGATGTCTCTGTGCGACTCCGAGCGCGCCAGTCACCTCTTCCGGTAATGGCTCGTGGGGCGGATCTTTGGTCATCTTCAAGAGTTTGGGACACCAGCCCAGGTAGTGGGTCAGATGGGAGGCTTTCGCCAGGAAAATGCGTATCTTCGCTTGCATTCGACTGGCGGTGCATACGTGGCTCAACATCGGACATCGAAGACCAATCATTCGAGTTCATGGTGCCTTGATTTGGGCTCAGAAGCGACGGTGGCAGAGGTTGGATATCCGTAGGGTCATCTAAAGATGCCATATGCGAAATAGAGCTATCTGACGATAAAATGGTGCAGTCAGGCAAAGGCTGCGCTAGCGGGGTTGTCATGTTAGAGGCGTTTTCTACATCAACGAGAGGCTGCCTGGTCACTTCCGTCTCCATAACACCCTTGAACAACCGATTCTTCACCTTTTCGGGTTTTCCCTCATCCAAGGCTCTCGGCTTTTCAGAATTCTGCCCTTCTGCGGACAATCTTGTTCTGATGCCACGGGTGCTCTTTTCTGGAGCCTGCCGTTGCTCCCTCGCTCTAAGTTGCAGTTCTTGAATGACAGCGAACTTTACTATACGCCATGTTTGAGATAGCTTAACTAATGAAGCATCTTCTGCACAGTCTGCGTTCAGGCTTAATGATTCTAGCAGTGATCGTAGAAGATCTGAGTGTATGCTGTTAGAGGTTCTAAGCAAAGGAGCATAGTGACGTGCCAGGTATCGAAAGGTTCCTTGATCCATTGTGGCTCCAGGTATACTTCCAACTGCCCCTAACTGGTATTGTCCGGAAGGCTTGATCTTTGATAGCACCTTCTCCAGCGACAGAACGGGATTAAATTCGGGAGCACCTGGAGGAGTGCTGCCCAGTGACTTAGACGCCCGACCACTGCTTGATTTAGTACGTCGGTGCCTAACCGAGATAAACGAAGGTTCATCGAGAAAGTCTTCTGCTGGGCTGTGACTCAAAGCTTCTGCGCTACTGCTCCCTTCTTCAGGATGGCCCATGAACTCCGTGGTGCTGAGGCGTACAGTACTATGCCTGGTACGTTTCTGGACAAAAGCCAGCACCTCACCACTCGGGCTCCAGGCTAAGGAGCACATCGGCCGTTGATTTACGACCTGAGGGGCATATCGGATATCCGTTTGGGTGAAAACACCGGCCTCGCCAGCAGTCCATAACAGATCTTTCGAATGCCAGAGTAAATCGGCAGCATGAGACTCGTACCGATCAAACTCTCGGAATGGTATATGAGGACGCCGAAGATCCCAGAGATGTATCCGTGGGTCTTCTTTGTCATAGGACGTTACTAACTGAATTGACTGCCAACCACCGGAAGTGTCATGTTCGTTGTTCCAGGATGGCGGACGCATCGTACATTCCCAACGGCCTGGGGTGTCCGGAATTGAAATGTTGGTTTCTGCCTACGTTCAGCCGAGGAAGAGAAATCCCAAACTTTAACATGCCTGTCTGTACCACCACTGACGATGTGCTTGCCATCAGGATGCCAATCTACTGAGAAGCATGGCTTGTCATGAGCGGTGATCCTTAGCAAGGGGGCGGTAGTTTTCCGGCAATCCCACAACTGTATGGCACCACTGTCCGTGGCGGTTGCAAATGCAAACCCATCGTTCGGAGACCACCTGATATCTCGAACTGCATCGCTGTTCCCATTATACAACTCCTTACTCGAACATGGCCTGACTGCGGATGCCATGCGCAAGTCCCACATTCGAATAGAAGAATCCTGGCTGCCAGACAAAAGCCATGCCGGCCGATGCGGGTTAAAAGCTAATTTGTGGACCTGGCGGCTGTGCCCCTGAAACCGGCAGTATTCCAGGCCAGTGCGTTGTAGATCATAGAGAACAATGCGGCCGTTGGCCACTGCAGTGGCGATAATGGTGTCATAATTGCCATGTGACCATTTCACATCCCGCACTGTCAGCTGGTCTTTATAGCGTGCGGAGAGTCCACTGCCATCATTCTGAGTGGAGGAGTAACCGATGATAGCATTGCGAAGGTTGAATTCTTCGGAAGAATGGTCGGGTGAGACACGGATGGTCTTCAAAATCTCTTTACCCCCGACTACTGCATGTGTCCGTTGAGGAGAAATATCTAAAGCAGCAATCGGAATCCCGGTCTTATGAGTGACCGTTTGGGACGCTCCCGGTCTAGCAGGGTTGTTAGAAGGTTGCTGTCAAGCCTCGTTGGCAAGGTGCAAAGCTGTATATTGGAAGTGTGACCTGTTTAGATAAAAGATTCTAAATGAAGCTGGAGCAACGCAAAGGGTATACGGGAGGGGAAAGGCGGGAAAGCGCGATGAGAAAGAAGAGCAACAGGAAAGGGAAACTATACAAGGACTTGGACCTATTAGAACAAGGACCGGCAGAGAGGTCTGCACGAACCCCTGAAGCTTGCGGACTTGGAGGTCGAGACCCAGAAAAGAAGGGCTGGGCAAATCTTGCTAAAGCACTGGCCGCGCGATTTGAATATTTGCTTTGTTGCACGGGGGCCGGTGGAGGAGGAGGGGGAGGAGCTGGGGAGGAACTGCCTCGGGTGGGCAACCGAGAGCTATCGGACATCCTCAAGAGGTCAGTCAATCACGACTTAACCCGATAAGGGATGAAGGTCCATGTTTGACAAAGTTCCCACGACGAACAAACAAGAAAGATGGAGCTGGTGGAGGTGGGGAATGGGAGTAAAGGAGGGGGGGGCTTTAGAAGGCGGAGCTCCCTGTTGGAGACTCTTTGGAGATGCGATGCGCTCGTGACTGACTAACTGATTAGACGGGTGGCTGCCTTAGGACCCCATATGAGGATTAGTCAGCACCTGTAAGAACGTTGAATAGAGGTCGAACTGGGGTAGTAATCAGGAGTAAGCAATTGGATTGATTCATGTGAGGTGCATGAAGCAAGTATCAGGAG